CTTTCCAATATTTCCCTTTAATTTATATTTTTTTAAACGGATATGTATTCCCGCTGCATTTTGATTCGTTCCGCCATTGTGAGGGAACACAGATCTAAACCAATGAAAAGAGGTCTACGAATGGCCAGACTCTGTATTCTAGGGACACTAGCTGCGTCCAGCAGAGAAAGCTGTTTTACATCTGTGTAAAATTTGTGAATCTGATTGGTACATGCTCTTGGATTCAACTCAAATTAAGAGCATACTCCAATCAGATTGACGAATTTTACACAGTTGCAAAGCAACTTTCTCTGCAGAACGCAGACATTGCGTCGAGCATTGTGTTTGGTGGTGTTCGGTGGATTTTGAGCAGTGATAATTGTGTATTTTTTTGTATTTAAGTGAGGTTGTTGCCGAAAAATGACGAAAGGTATAATAAATATTTGTAAATTTTAAAACGGATGAAATACAATAAGATAAATATTTATCTATGCACACTACCGGCATAGTAACCTCACGCGTAAACCAAGTTAATAACCAAGTTATTAAGATTTTTTAATTGTTTGCATATTTAATTGTTAATTGACTATTCAAAAAAACGGGCTTTGCCGTAATGGTCTGTTACTGTGATAGTTTTATATTATCCTAACAGCACAGTGTCCAAAGGACGTACAGGGTACGTCGTTTGGGTAGTTCAAGAGGAACGAATGTGCACGCAAATTCTAGCAACTCAGTCTAACCTAATTACACTATGTATCAAAACATTCCTGCCGGTTAGTGCGCAATTACTTAAATGTAATTGTAAATGTAATTGTATATATATATATATATATATATATATATATATATATATATATATATATATGTAGAGAGAGAGAGAGAGAGAGAGAGAGAGAGAGAGAGGGGAGAGAGAGAGAGAGAGAGACGAGCACTCTTGACAATGTAATAATTTTGCCATTTTAGACGAAAGTTTGGAAAAAAAGTCTGTGGAACTTAGTGACACTGATAAGAAGGCTGTATCTGATTCAGGGCCAGATCCTTCTGCCCCGATTACTAGGAAAGGAGTATTAACATCCTTTCTAACTGGCAAACCTATGGAAATACCAGAACATGATGTTGTAATACAATTTTCACTTATGCATTATGTATTCCATGAAAGTGATTTAAAAAAGTTAAATCCTACTTATTTGTTGCAGCTTGGTAAATGTAGGTTTGTTTCTGAGTTTGAAAAGTTGAATCGTATTGGAGAAGGCACTTATGGAATTGTATACAGAGCCAGAGACACAAAAAATGATAAAGTTGTTGCATTGAAAAAGGTAAGAATGGAACATGAGAAAGACGGTCTGCCAGTAAGCGGTCTCAGAGAGATTTCAGTTCTGTTGTCCTGTCGGCATGAAAACATTGTACATCTGAGAGAGGTAGTAGTAGGCAGAAGTTTAGAAAGCATATTCCTCGCAATGGAATATTGTGAGCAAGATTTGGCAAGTTTATTGGACAATATGCAAACACCGTTTTCTGAAAGTCAAGTTAAATGTATAGTATTGCAAGTACTAAAGGGTCTTCGTTACTTGCATCATAACTTTATTGTTCATAGAGACTTAAAAGTCTCTAATCTTCTTATGACTGACAAGGGCTGTGTAAAAATCGCCGATTTCGGACTGGCTAGGTGGTTTGGTTTGCCCTTGAAACCAATGACACCTAGAGTTGTGACGTTGTGGTACCGAGCTCCTGAATTGTTATTGCAAGCTAAAACGCAAACTACATCCGTGGATATGTGGGCGGCTGGATGCATTTTAGGTAAGAAAAAGATTAAGATAAATTTCTTCCTTGACATCATGTTGTATGTATATATAATTGTGAAGTGATCACGTACACACAACTTTCGCCTAGACATTGTACGTGTCGATACTATAATGCGTCTTGTTACTAGGAGAGTTGTTGGGCCACAAGCCTTTATTACCTGGTAGATCGGAAATTGCACAGTTAGAGTTAATTGTCGATCTGTTGGGCACACCCAGTGAAGCTATTTGGCCAGAATTCAACTCGTTACCGGCGTTGCAAAATTTTACACTCAAACAGCAACCGTACAATAATTTGAAACAAAGATTTCCATGGTTGAGTGCAGCTGGTCTTAGATTGTTAAATTTCTTGTTTATGTACGATCCAAAGAAGAGAGCGACTGCTGAAGAATGCTTGCAGAGCAGTTACTTTAAGGAAGCTCCGTTACGTTAGTATGAACGGCATTTGATATTCCTTCTCTTGGTCAAATCAACGAAGAAGAAGCTGCTTTTCATTGTTATCGCGCTGATTCGATCTATATGTTACAGCATGCGACCCAAAGCTTATGCCTACTTTTCCGCAACATAGAAATATGAAAAAGGCAGCTACGCAGAAGGAGAGTCGTGAGCAGGAAAATGTTACCGATCAAACTAATAATTTACCAGCAATTTCAGACCTTGTATGTGACACATGACAATTTCTTGAGTGTGTGCGTGTGGGTGCGCGTGCCCGCCCGCCCGCTTACGTAATATTTACAAAGGAAAAGCGTCATGGCTTGAAAATTTAAAAAATTATGAAGTCTTTTGGGAACATTTAAATAAACATTTTTAATATTTCAATGATAACCTTGATAATGTAAATTCATTATTTTTTATAATAGCAACAGCAGGTCAACAATATTATTCTTATCAGGATTTCCTCTATATATATCCCAAATTTCACATTTCTTTAAATTTTGTGTGTGGCTCTTTTCCTGTCACAAATTTTGTCACAAAAATCGCGTACATTATTCTACACATTTATTTGTTTCAGCTTGGATCATTGGTTAAAAAGAGACGTGCTGAATGAAGAAATTGTCGCAAGTTTCCTTGAATGAAAAATTAATCTAGACAGTTTTTGCATTATATATATATACATATATATATATATATATATATATATATATATATATATATATATAT